GGTTGCGCTGGACCTTCTACAAGACCACCACTTCCTCAACACGCGCCCGGCTCTGAGGCGACACGATGGCAAGCGCGATTTAAAACACAGCAGCGAGAACCACACCCAGACATTGTAATGGCCCAAAAGAGAGCCAAAGAAAAGAGCATGCCCTTTGCGCTGCTCAGGGGCAGATGTGGTCGCGTGCACCGTGGCCGTGGCAGCATGCAGTGTGGCTGCGCGATGGGAACAGACCTTGTCGATGCTTCGATGGTGCGCCTTTGAGTTGCATGCGCGAGGTGAGCCATGGCTGTAAGATGTTTATGGTCTCCATGCCTGTGCACACAGGTATGGTGCTTGCAGTGTCCAACCTGACTTGGTCACTCTCCAGCGGATCCAGGTTGCGAGTGATGCCCGCACCTCAGCGTCATGAGGTGCGTGATGGAGCCTTGTTGTTTCTACTGCGAGATGTTGGGAAAGTCCCAGGCCGGCATGAGGGACCTCCACCCAATGGTCCAGCTGTGGAGCGGCAATTTGAAGCGCGTTCTGAGGAGGTGCATCCACAGTGGCCCTGAAATTCCTACTGTATAAAGGTGGACACGGAATCTTCTTTTCCAGAGTTGCAGCACCGCCCCTCTTTGCTTTCTTCCGTGGTTGGAAGATGTTGGAAGATTAGGCTCAACCCTAAACCCTAAACCCTAAAACCCTAACCCTAAACCCTAAACCCCAAACAATGCTTCGGGTTTGTGGCGCCAGGCTCCGGCAAGATGGAGATGACTGGACCCAGCGCCGCCAGCAGGGTGCAAGTTTGGCAGCTGCTTGTTGCCAATTTATGCGCTGAGACGTTACCGTTGTCCTTGGGGATGTCAACCGTTCCTTATCGAGTCTAGACTCTAGACGAACTGCGCAGTTCAGAAACGCAGAGCGTTGTACTTAAGCAATCTTGAGCGCACAGATCTGTGCAGCTGAACATGTAGTCTTAGCCACCCAGTCCAGTAGGGCATGGAAGCAACAGGTCGCAATTCCGGCCTTGTTACGTACTTCCCCGGCATTTTGTCTTGGCAGGTGGTGGCAGCTCAAGCTCTTTGGCAGAGGGACGCCCTGTCTCGCAAGGCGGCCTGACCTTCCTTCTGTGATCCCTATAAGCGCCTAAGATCCACAAAGTTTACGAATCCCTAAACATCCCTGAGAAGCCTAAACTTCCCATCATCCCCCATCATCTTCCTGGGAACTCCTGGGGGTGTCCCTGAGTGATGGCATAGAGCCTGGAGGTGCCTGGAGCATAATCCGGGCGATGCCTCCCCGCAACAAACGGGGGACATTGTAAGCTGTAGTTGCTGTAGGTCCCTCCATGAGAATCCAGAGGTTCACTAAATCATGGGCCCTTATAAGGTCCCATGTATATGGTCTGCGCGGCATAGGCGCCTGAAAAGGATTAACGACTGCTTGTGCAGAGCCCTCCCTTCTTCGTTTTCCTTGGCACGCAGGAGGCACGGCACGTTACCCACCGCCTCCAGCGCCCAGTCTTCAACGTGCTACGAAGGCTGGGCTGTTGTGGCTCTGCAGCCGCATGACCATGTCATCAATGTGCCTGAGTTTTTGCATAGATTGTGGGGTGTTTTGTCAGAGTCGGAACGGCTGAGCGAGCCTTGGATTTTGGGGTTCTTGAAGCCCAGAAATTCAAGGATGCTTGTGCCGTTATACCGTAGAAGCAGGTCTCAGAAATTTGACCTCTGAGGCTGCGGGGTCCACTTGAGTTGGACCGGCGGAGCCAAGATGCCTTAAGGCCGCCCTGTCCGATGGCATGTGCAGTGTCAGCTTGTGAGCTCTGACACTAGCTGACGAGCCTTCGGCGGAGTTCTGTCGTAAATCCTCTGCACCGGTTCGCAAGTTTGCTTGGGCCCAAAACAACTTGCCAGGTACTTGCCTCTGCGAGACGTGTTTTTGGAGTCGCAGTCCACGCTTGGCTCTCCGTTGACAGCCGAGACCATGCTCGAACTCCACCTTTGCTGCGCACAAAAAGCCTTGCCACGCGGGACCTGGAGAGTGTTTGGGCTTTTTTGGGTCATATCAGCCCCGCAACTCGCAAGCTTGTGGCAACTCCGCGGCGCTGCTCCTGCTCCCGGTTTTCTCTTCCTCCTGCTTCTTTTTTTGTCTGCTTCTTGTTGTCTGCTTCTTTCTCTGCTTGTTTCTCTGGACTTTCTGCAAGGCCTCGTCCCTGCATCGCTCCCAGCAGCCAGCGAGGCGCTGAGGCGGGAACTGCCATCGGAGAGCATTGGAGAGCCCTTCCGCCGATCTGCTTCCTCTGTTAACGTGCTTTGCGGGGGCCGGGGGGAGGGGTGAAGTTAGGTGAAGTTGTTTGAGGGACCCTTAAAAGGGACCTTACATGTATATGGGAACAAGATTAAGGGTCCCTTGAAAGGGGTCCGTCCTTATAAGCTGAGTCAGGGCCATGCTGTACACCGTCACAGATGCGCCATGGCACGAGCGCTCTGGGCTGAGATTTTTTTGGAGTCGCGGATGCAGAGGCGGGGGTGTGGAGCCACGTCAGAGCTCGTCTTTGCCTTGCTAGGTGAGCTCTGGCGAGCAGCCCTGGCACTCTTTGCTTCGCTTTGTGACGAGGGTGTGGAACCCACTGTGGACCAGTTGCCCGCAGCCCAGAGACCTGTGCACTGCTGTGCACTTACGACTTAAGCTTCATGCACATGTAGCCTTGTGAGGAACCTTGCTCTCCAGGTCTGCAAGGCACCCGTTGCGTTGGCACTGCCTGCTTTCCTTGATGGTGAGAATCACGCTGACTTCTTTGCGCTGGTTTGCGCGACGCCCCTATGACAGGAGGCCCGAGCTATCCACCCGATGTTCGAGATTTACGAGTCTACACGGAGGTTGCCGAGCTTCAGCCCAAACCACGAGACTTTCGAGGCAAAGCCGGTGTAGCTGCAGATAAGAGCTGGGAAACTTCATGTACTTCATCTGTGAAGACAGCGAAGTGTAGAGCAAATGGAGCAGTGTATCATGGATAGGCTTAGATTGAGCCTTGTCTTCCCGGAAACGCATCAGGGCAACGGGCATCCTACGTGCCTCCTTGAACTTTAGAGAGGAGTGCAAAGACAAGGCACACTTGGCAAAGCATGATCATGCCCTCATGAGACCGGAGAACAATTTTACTCGTACTAGTGTGTACCAGTAGAAAGCCACCATGCAACAGCTGCCGCTGCAGTACTAGCAGCAGGTATTCTCTCGGCGATGTTGACTATCTGATTTCTGAAAGCAAACCCTAAACCCTAAACCCTAAACCCAAAACCCAAAACCCTAAACCCTAAACCCTAAACTTTCAGCTGCATCCTGCGGCAGCACCTGGCAAGCGGCGGCTCCGTGGCACCAGGGCAGTACTGGTGGAGCTGCGTGCGCTTCATGGCAGAGGCCACCCTTTCTGCTTGGGTCTACGTTTTTGGAGATTCAGGGTTTAGGGGTTTAGGGGTTTAGGGGTTTGGGGTTTAGGGTTTGGGATTTCGGGTTTAGGGTCACTCTTGCTGTTTTACCGGGGGGGTTGCCGGGGGGGGGGGGGGTGTGGAGTTCTGCGCTCACCTACTCCACGTGGACGGATGCCATTTGTGAGGCTCAAAGCCTGCTCCCGGCGCAGCAGTTGACGGGTTCCATGGCCAAGACGATCAAGGTCCTCCTCCCAAGGGGCTCCGGAATGCCGGCAAAGAATCGTCGTCGAGTCATCATGCGACCATGACCATCATCACAGTTGCAGTCTGCTTGCAGCAGCAGCCGTGACAGTAGTAGTTATCTCAGGGTTGCCTGCAGAGCAAACTTGCCTTTGAGGGAGTGTGTGTGTGTGTGTGTGAGCATGATTTTTAGTTTGCGGCTGTGGTGGGGCCCTAAACCATGCCATCAAACCTTTGCCTAGATTATACGTATAACATACATGGTCATACTATCTGTATGTACAGGCGGAGAGGGGTGGGGGTGGGGAACAGAAACAAGCATTCTTCTCGTCGTTGAGAAAGAAGGCCTCTTTGGATGCACGGGCATGGAGTACGGCGCTTTTCTACCTTCGTCCGGGCCTCAAGAGGCGACAAGCGAAAAGGATCTGGGATGGCAAGCTCAAAACACCCCAAATCCCCCCAACCCCCAATGGCCGAGGCCCCGAGATGGACCTGCCAGTTGTCTCAAATGTTCCCGGCAGACCTGTCGCCGACTGAGCTCCTCCTTGCATGCTGGCACTCCATGGCTGCATCTGGAGCTGCTTTTATGTGTTTAAAGGAGATAGCCAGAGATGTTTCGGTTGTTGCTACGTGCTGTTGTTGCAAGGCGGAGCTGCAGGATGCACTTCGAGAGCGCCTCGAGGCGCTGCAGTGCGCGGGTCCAGCTATGAAGCACAGCGTTCCTCAGATGTTTCACTGCCTCTTTTCGCGGTCAAGCTGAGGCAGACCCAGTGCGCTGCAAGTTCAACGTGCTTGCCACGGCTCTTCTCCTGGCTCAAGCTTGTGCTGTGAGTTCCAGCGCCATCTTGGACCGTGGCTGCGCCATCGAAACGAACACACATAGCACACAGGCCAGCAATTCGCATGGCTTCGCCAGGGATGATGCAGGGACCGACATGAGCTGGAAGAAGCAGCGCATCACTGTCCTTCGTGCCGGGACGCCATGCTTGCAGCGCCCCTCGAGGCGGGCCTGCCTCGGCCCTTAGTCCCCTTTCTGCAAAAGAGAGAGAATGGTTTTTAGCGTCCTAGGTTTGTTGAACCCGATGTAAAATGGGAGGTTTTGAGAATAGATGTACGTCAAAACTGGGAAGATAGTAGGTCTCGATAGTAGGAAAGAGAAGGATGCTTCTCGCGACATTTCTTCTATATACCTACTATATATACATACTTATTTATATTTATGCTGATATTTCTATGAAATTTATTTATGCCACTCTCTCTCTCTATGTGTATATATGTATAGTTGCAGATTTTGGCTGAAGTTTAGGGTAACGGGTCCAGCGACTACGTACGGCCACTTCGGAGCCTATGACGATGAGTGAAGGTAAAAGCACCTCGACACCCGAGACCGATGCCGAGTATAAGCCGATGGTCATCTCCGAGAACATGGAGGAGGAATTACATCGCCTTGGCGCCTCCTCCGACATGATCGCTCATCTAAAGGAGGAGGACGAGATGGTGCATCTGCCGATGCCGGGCAACCTCGACGGATCAATTCGTACCAAGGCTTTGCGTTGCATGTTCAGCATGCTTCAGGCAAATCCTGTGGGTAAAAGCACTTGGTTTCAGGCGGCCCTGCTTCTTGATCGCATCACAGCATGCCAGAGCTTCTGCTTGGAACAGCTACCGCTGACCTGTACGTGCGTGACTAGCCTTGTCTTGAAGTGCGCCTCCAGCGCGGCAATGCCCCTTGCTGGCGAGGACGTGATCAATGACTTTGCTACATGGCTGGATTCCACGCAGAACTGCGTGACTGCAGAAGTGTCGAACCGAGCAGTCTCGCAGCATGAGAAGGAGGTCTTAGAGGCGCTCGATTTTCGGGTGCAAGCCCCCTGCGTTCTGCAGTGGTGCAAGCCCTACTTCACTCGCTTAGGACTCTTGGCAAGCCGGGAGTTCCAACTTCCCGTGCAGCAGATGCACGGAACGGTCGTGATGTTCGCACATGCCGTGGTTATGTGCGTTCCAGCTTCCCCAATGCTCAGCCACGGCAACCTGGCCGCCGGACTGTTTAGCCTGAGCTTTGTGTACTCGGGCCTGCTGCCAATGGCCAGCCTCATGCCGTCGAGCATGAGCGCTGCAGAGTGGAGCACGCTTTTGGCAGCGACCCCGCCAGTGCCGCCATGCCGTTTGCCGCAGGCTGTAACGATGAGGCTCATGGACATGATGTGCCTGACCGTCATGGAAAAGCCTGATGTCATCCGCGCCTGGTCAAGGCATGCACTAGAAGCCTTGAGCGAGTCACTTCAGCAAATTTGCATTTCCCAAGGAAAGCATAGGCAAAATTGCGTGTTTCGATCTTAGAGAGGAATGTCGAATCCTTTACCAGCCTGGGTCTTACCACCTTGGCTAACTGTTATGTATTGCGGAGAGTCGGATGATGAAATTCACTAGTTGCTAGACATGTGTTGTACTCTCAGTAAGCAGCTTCCGATCTGAGTTGCAACCGGCTTTGTAGCTTGGACTGGCCAGGTGGTGGCGTCCCTAAGCCCAGAAAACGTGCCAAACACGAGATTGCCAAGAGCCCTGGAGAGTAGAACAGTTTTTGGGCTTGAGAGACTTCGGATCACCACTGGCTGCACACGGAAGCCTTGGAGAGCGCGCAGAGTCCTACTTCGACTTCGCGAAACACTGTGTTTTGTTTTCACGACCTGATCTGCGACTCTTCCTGCTTGCTGGGCAGTATCTTCTACATGAGGCACGCCTGCCTCCTTCGCTTTAAAGGGAGCGCTCCGCAGCGCATTGTGGACTGGAATTCAAGAGTTTCGAGGTTTCGGGCATTGAGGGGTTTAGGGCTGCGAGTTTGAGAGCGGAGCGTTGTGCAGCGAGCTGTGCCATCACGCAAGTCGCGACTTGTGGTTTGGAGAAGCGCTTTGTGAGCTTCTTGTTCATCCGTCGCCTACTCGGTTGATCATACTTGTATGCTGATGGCTGCGTTTTTGTTCTGTTTGCTTGAAGATCGCGTTTCATCTGTCGCTGTTTCGCTCGGATTCATGAAAATTATGTGTCGAACGAGCGGCAAAGCTGCCAGCGCCGCAGCTGGCTGTTGATGACGAGGTGTAACTCCCGAAGTTTTTGCTTGCGAATAGTACATAGGTACATAGTACTGAACCCACAGGGACGATCTGATCACCACCTTTGCATCCTGGGAGACGCACATCACTTCTCATCTGACTGGTCTTGGGCACGCGAACTGACATTTTCTCCAGGGGTGATCATCTCAAAGGCTCTATGATTCCATGATACGACCGTGAGTTAAGATACTGTTTCACAAAGTCGGTTCGGCTCGACGCATGAAGGATGAAGATCGCCGGCCTGAGATCCAGCCATAGTGACGACCGAAGGACACGACTTCACGGAAAAAGAGCTCCGCTTGAGCCGCTTGCATGTTAGCGGCTGTGGCTAGTTAGTCAGCAGCGAGTCCGCTAGACCAGGCTTACGGGGACGAAGTGGGCGACCCATGTCCATTCTGTGCTGGCTTGGCGGTTCATGGGGGGTACCTACAAGTAGGGTTATAAGTGCCCGAAATAAGGTTAGAAACATAGTTACCCTACTGAAAAGACCCTACTTAAAAGTACCCGAATGAACCTCCAAGTAATCACGAAAGCTAGACTTGAGGGAGCCAGATCAACCCCAGTCAATTTGCATGATCCTTCTGAGAGTTTCGAGGAAAATGGGGGGGGGGGGGGCGCCATTGATCGACTCAAGCAATCATGGGGAGGGCGGGGTCGCTATTCCTATCAATAGTTGCCGTGAAATCCCTAAAGGGGGGGGGGGGAGTTTCCCATATTAGGGGATCAGGGGGATTACCCGTGATGTACACCAAGGCAGTATTGTCGTACTTGTGAAAAAGAACGGACCCCCAACAACGTGCCCCAACTTGTCGGGGACCCCAGATGTGCCAAGGTGCCGATTCAGACTTCGAAGAGCCAAGCGCGACCAGCACCTGGGAGACAAGGCATGGTGGACAGTGTCTCGCGGTAGAGGATGCCTCCCATGAACTTCCAACCGTTTAGGGTTTAAAGTTTAGGGTTTAGGGTTTAGGGTTTTTCAAACCCTGAATCTTCACCGAGTAACCCCCCGAGTTCTTGAGGCGCTGCGACAGCCTTTGCAGTGCCACTGGCTGCGCTGACCTTGGCCGCTGCTTCACGGCCTTCAAAAAACCAGAGGCGCCAAAGTTTGCCAGAGCCCCTTGGCAGCGCAGAGTTCGGAGGAGCACTCTTTAGCTCAGTAACCCTAAACCCTAAACCCTAAACCCTAAACCCTAAACCAGGCAGCTCCGGGCCTTTCGTTCCCTCACCGGGGATGCGGAGTCGCCGCACATTGTGAGGACAGGGAGCTTCTTGGGGTTTAGGGTTTAGGGTTTAGGGTTTAGGGTTTAGGGTTTAGGACGCCCATGGGAAGTCATGGTGTGCATCGTCTCACAGGCAGTGGCGCTATGCTCGGAGTGGGGGCCCTGAAGGGTGTGACAAGCTGTCCTGCAAGAGACGGAAGAATGAAGTGAGTCGGGAGCAAAACACGCCGCAGTGAGAAGGGCCGAAGAAGGAAGAGAAGCTGAGGATCACGGCTTCTCAAGAGTTTGGACTGGACGCGTTCCATTCTCAGAGCCTTCTGCAAGAGCTTGCTTTCGTTTCGGTCCCGGCCCATGTTCCCTGGACCCGAAACCCTAAGCACTAAACCTCGAAGTGTTTGAGGCTACCACCTATGGGTGCTCTTCGTCGACAGCTGCGAGCCTTCCTATGCACGATCCAGGCTCTGCCGATTCTTCTTCGAGTCGCTCAGCAACGTTCAGTGTCCATGTTACTCACATATCCCCAAAATCCCAACAGAAGCACGACGAACTCTAGAGGCGTTTCTATTTCTGTTACTGAGGAAGGTGTGCCAAGGGCACAGCACTGCCTCGCTGCTGTACTGCGCAGCCGGGGGCCTTGAAGATACACAGAACGAGGAGGGAGGGGGGATGAGGGGGTAGCGTGAACCATGCAGCGTTCCTGAGTACGTTCAGAGCTGAACCTCCCCGCAATCACCGTGATTTCTGATGTGTGTATCTTGCCCAAACATAGCTAGTCTTGCGCCATGCCACACAGGGGCCGCCCGTCTGAAATCGTACTTCTTTCCCGGCTGCAGAAACTCTACTTGAAGGTTCATGGGTACTTATGAGTACGGTTATAAGTTCGATTCATAAGTAGCCGAGTAGCCATGAACCACCAAGTACGCCCGAAACACTATAAAATTGGACCGCAAGGCTTGGCAATTGGTGCCCATAGATGTTCCAGAGAAGTCGGTAACGTAGCAGACTCAGGGAAACGACAACCTGAAGCCCACTAAACCCAAAGCACTAGGTGCGGAAGCCCTAAACAGGAGCCTGAAAACCAGTACTATCCCCTGGTAAAGCTATCTATATATGCACGAATACTTATATATGGTCAGTTCTCTAAACTATGGTCCATTGTTGAGTACCCCAAATAATAGGGGCCGCTCTGCAAAAAACAGCCCTAAAAGGGCCATTTTTTAGAGAAGTGACCATACATACACATATACATTTATAGCCAAGCCAACCCTAAACCCTAAAGCCCTAAACATTAAAAACCCTAAAATCCTAAAACCCTCAAACCCTAGAACCCTAAACCCCTCACACTCTTCTGCTTCCATTGGCCCCCCCGACCGGCAGGAGATGGACTTGGAGCTCCCTGCATCGGTTCCAGATTTGCATTCCGTGCCTGAGCTGTCGACCTTATGAGTGAGCCCTAGAACAAGGGACTCAGGGGTTTAGGGGTTCAGGGGTTTAGGGGTTCAGGGGTTCAGGGGTTTAGGGGTTCAGGGGTTTTTAGGGGTTTTTAGGGGTTTAGGGGTTTAGGGGTTTACGGGTTTAGGGGTTTAGGGGTTTAGGGGTTTAGGGGTTTAGGGGTTCACGGGTTTAGGGACTCAGGGGTTTAGGGGTTTAGGGACTCAGGGGTTTAGGGGTTTAGGGGTTTATGCAGGATGTCATGCGGACACTTCAGGCGCAGAAACGCATGAAGCACTTAGGCCTCAGCGCATAAGAGATCAGTGTCTGTGCCGAGTTCTATAATATTCCTTCCAGACTTCCTGTGGCCTGATTAAGTCCAAGGGGTTTAGGGGTTTAGGGGTTTAGGGGTCTAGGGGTTCAGGGGTTTAGGGGCTTAGGGCAACAGTACCCCGAACACAACGACCACAACGAGCCTGAGCCGGAAAAACCTGCAAGTTGGCCGCAGGGGGACTTGCAGAACCTGGTCGTTCCGCCCTACATGTTCACACCCATGGACTTCAGCATGTACGATGTGGTCGTAGCAGCGGATGAGGCCGGGCTCTAGGGGGGTTTCTTCTCCCGTACGCCTTGCGTCCTGAAGCTCCCATGTTTCAAGCGAATCCTGCACAAAAAGAGCCTCGGCATGTCTGAAGCCCTCTTACTTTCGGGGCTCATCGCGTGCCAAGGGTTTCCCCTTCCGACAGGCCACCGCGGATGCAATTCGGAAGCGCCTGCGAGAGACTGGACAATCAGATCGCGATGAGCTTTGCGCAGCTTGTCGTCATGAGCAGGGCTCTCCGGGTCTGTTTACACTGCGCGTTTCGGGGCACTTCGACCCGTTGAAATTTAGCCTGAGAACCTTGAGACAAAGGCGTCGCAGGCAGTTGAAGTCATCGAAGCGGAAAATCCTCTACGTATGAGTTTTTGTCAGCCGAATTCTGGGGTCGCCAAAACCTATGTTTGCTAACAATCTTCCTAAAATCATCCTCTGGTGTTGTCCTCCCTCATTTTCCTGTCTGTTTCATCATCCTAAAATCATCCCCTTTTTTCCTCGAAACATCCTCTGGCAATATCGTCCCTACTTTTCCTCTTCGCCATATCATCCTAAAATCATCCTCTTAGTCTTTTCTTCTCCCTCGAATCATCCTCGGGCATGTCCCGCCCGCTTTTTGCGCCCGCTTCATCATCCTACAATCATCCCTTCCCTTGCCTTAAAGTCTTCCTCTGGCACTGTCCGCCGCGCTTCTTATGTCCGCTTCATGATCCGGTCCTCAAATCATCCTGTCTTGTTTTTCCTCAAGTCGTCCTATATATGGTGTTTTTCGCCGGGCGCTGCTTATGTCCGCTTCATCATCATAAAATTATCCGGTTTTAGGAGGAGATAAAGTAATTTTGAGGGTAATTTTAGGAAGATTAGGAAGCCGGAGCTGTGACATAGGATGGTTTTAGGATGATTCTAGGATGATTTTAGGATGATGTGGCGGATAATTTGGAGGAGGGTTTTTCGGAAGATTGAGAAGCCGGAGTTTTGACATAAGATGGTTTTGGGATGATGTAGAGGGTCATTTTGAGGATGATTTTAGGACGATTGGGAAGCATGAATTTTCGCATAGGATAATTTTAGGATGAGGCGGAGGATATTTTGGAGGATGGTTTTTGTAAGATTGGGAAGCCGGAATGTGGAGGGAGGATGATTTGAGGCAGAACTCGAAGGATGATTTTAGGAAGATGTCTAGCAAAAAAAAATAATTGAACCGAAACCCAATGCTTGGCTCCAAAAAAAATCATAATCCTAGACCCTTAGAACCAGCCTAGTCACGCAAGACATTGTCTTTGGGACGTGTATAGCTGCTTGCACAGGTCCTGACCGACTTCATGGATGCATACGATGTCCTGCTCGAGGCAGAACAGGACCCGGTATCGCGGGGCTCTTTTGCCCCAAGCTGTGCATGATCATCTAGTATGGGCGTTCCAAGGAAAGGGTTCCCCTACCTCCAAGTTGTGTGTTCCTTCGCATGTGGAACCCCCCTGCCCCCCCCCTCAACCACTCCCCCTTCCCCTCCTCCCCCCCCACCGATGAGGAGAATCCAGTCCTGGAGCCCGCGCCGGGTGTTGGGCAAGGCCTGCTGAGCCAGGCCGGGGGCCTGGAGCGAGCCGCGAGCTTCCCCTCCTGCAACCCTCATAAAGCCCGCCCTGAATCCGTGAAACGGTTCCCCCCCCCGTTCCCCCCGCACCCCCCAAAGACGCCAACAGATCCTTAAAGCCTGAGACCCCCAAACGACCCTGAACCCTAAACAGCTTAGGAGGGCCTGGCTCGGCTCATGCCTGGTCAACCCCTGCGTGGCACTCCACCGCCACGACCCGTGGGCCCGCCGCTGCCGGGGCTTCCCTCGGCCTGGCAGGTGGGGAAGAGAGTTTTGAGGGTTTAGTCTAGTCAAGTTTCGTGTAGGGGTTGAGCGGTTGAGGGGTTGAGGGGTTAAGGGTTGAGGGTTTTAGGCTTGAGGGCATGGTTTTAGAGTTTGGCTGTTTGGTTTGAGGGTTGAGTGTTAAGTTCCTGCCCTTTGCATCTCGCAGCTTAGCTCGACTTGGTCCCCAGGAGCTGTGGTCGGTGGCCAACAGATGCTTGGTTGTTTAGGGTTTAGGGTTTGGGGTTTAGGGTTTAGGGTTGCAGGGTTTAGGGTTTAGGGTTAGAGGGGTACGGCGAAGTTTGCAGCATGCAATTCTTTCGGTGTTGGAAGTGCTTGCGTCTTGCAGCAGCACAGGCTGTTGTCAAGCTTTGCGCATTGCAAGCAGCCATTTTGAGGATAAGACAGTTGGTGAAGGCTACAGGTGAAAGAGCTGTTTCATGCACATGCTTGTGTGAACTGTGGCTGATGCAAGCGTGCTCATCTCAGGCAGCATAGATGAGCTATCGGACACAGGACATCGCCTCACGCAACAAAAACCAGAGTGGTTTGACCCTTCCCTGTGCTACCTAAACTTGTAAAGACCTGCCCGTCGTCGGCTGCTTCAGCCGAAGGAGTTAGCAGCCAGCAGCAGCTGCAACTTGCGGGAGTTTGGGGAGGGTTCGGGCTGTGCATGGTGCAGGCAAGAGGCTGATGGAGCAAAGAATGGGTCCGATGCGGTCTCGAAACACTGGAAAGCCGACCCGTTGTGAAGTAGAGACGAAAGAAGCTGAGAAAACCGAGAGTGCCAATCTGATGTTTCCAAGAAGTATAGCTGGTCTGGGGGCTTCAGGCTGGGATGGGACACGAAAGGGGTGCTTGCCTCTCAGCTGGGAGTCTCCAATTACATCCAATTACTTTTAAGGGGCCGAAGGATGCAGAAAGCAAGGCGGGCCACGAGGGAGGTCGGGAGGCTCCTGGCCATGTTGGCCACCTCAGACTCATAGTGTCATGTGGACAGGACCTTCGCAGCCTGTGGAAGAGGTTGGACGCATTCTGCACTCGGTCGTTGGGTTGGAGCGTTGCTTGAGAGCAGCTTGGCTCATCCCGAAATATCCCGAACCCACCCTGGACTTCAGCACCAAAATCCCACTCTCAATAAGACCCTGCTGGCTAGTATTGCTTGGAGCATATTTGCGCCATGAGTAATTGCCATCCAAGGCGAGCATTCCTCAGAATATGCGCTGGTGGAACGACGAGGTCTGAGGATGTCTGAGGTGGCTTGGGGTTTTTGGGGGCCAGGCCCGTTGAAGCACGACCCTGGCCCCGGGGTTCCACCAGCCCCACATGCCAGCAATGTCAGTTCTTCTGGTAGCGTCAGTGTGGCCACAAAGCCACACGAGGGCGATGGAATGAATATGTGGGAGATTCAAGCTGGTCAGGTGGAGTTGGCACGTTTCAATCCAAGCAACTGCGGACCGTAGACTCATGGCCTGTGCATAGTTCCCTGCTTGCCAGGCGTAGTTCTTGCCCGTTCCGGCAGCAAAGCTGCGTCGTTCCACGACTTGAGTGTCTAGCCTGATGGGCTAAATCGGCAGGCAAGGTCAGGCAAGCTTCAACCGCCCTGGTCTTGCCAGCCCACTGTCCGACGAAGCTTCCTTCCATGTCCACAGAAGCTGCGAAGCTACTTTTTAAAACATCGTTCCAAGAGAGGGCTGCGCTTCGTGTGCCAGTAGTCCAGCATTGCAGGTGCCAGGGGTAGCCGATCATGTAGACGACATCTTTGGTGTGCACAGCTCCAGTCGCAAGATTGGACTTTGCGACTGGTTGCTTTCCAGCCGCTCTCAGCACCCGACGTTGTCGCCCGAATACCTCTGCGTTAGATGGATGCATGAGGGCTGACAGGTATCGAGCCCAGCCGGGCGACGTGCCAGACCGCCGTCCAACGGCATCAATTAGCAAAAAGAGGTACTGCCGCCGGGCTTAGGTTTGTGAGGATGTCTCTGCTCTGCTACGTGCGGGATTGCAGAAACACGGCCCAGCAGAAGTTGCCATGGTGGCTAGTGAGTGTGCGTCTCTGTACCAGATGTGATCAGGACCTTCGATTTGGAAACGCCGTGGAACGAAGAGAAGGCATGTCTTGGATTGGATGGTGTTCGACTTGTGGGAAAGACTGGCAAGTGATGGAACCACACACACACACACACCCACCCACCCACCCACCCACCCACGCCTGCACGCCCGGACACACACACGCACGCACGCACACGCCCACGCACTCACCCTCTCTCTCTCACACACAGACATCTACACTTATATACACTCACACTCACACTTCCACTTCCACTTGCACTTGCACGTACGCTTACACCTACAGACTTACACTTACGCTTACTTTGCGCAGGTGGCTACATGGCTCGTGCTTGGGCGGACTACTGGGACTTCCAGCGCCAGGCGAGGCGCTGCCATGCCAAGGTTAGATATGTTGGGAGCTGTGTCCCCCACATGTTTTATTGTTGTCTGATAAGAACTCCGGTTTCTAAGAGGTGCCCAGAAGAACCCATTGTGACTCATGTGACCCCATGCAGAATATGAGGCACAGCGCCGGCAAGCGCCAAGCTAAAGGATCCCTGTTCAGTGCAAGCCCTGAAGCTTTCCATTCACATTTCTTGTCATGGCTCTCTGTCAGGTCCCAGTGCGACGAGTTGGCAAGCTGCAGCCGGCAGCACCAGGTGCAGCTGATCGATGGTGATGCACTGCACTGAGTTGCAGGGAGACACCCCTTGAGCTGGCTGCTGGAAAAGGTGTCTCTTCGTCGGCGCTGGACGAGTCTGCCCCTGCCAAAGACACTCACGTGCCAGCGGCCCTTGCAGACCAATGCTCTGCCTTGCCCCGTGTCGCTAGGTGAAAGAGCTTCTCAGGGCTTGCGCAGAAGATGCACTGGAAATACCCAGGCTGCGAGACCCTCAGGCATCAGAGGTTTCGGGGAGATACAGCTTGGTTTTCTTGCGGAGATGAGAGTTAGCTGGCGGCTTGACATGTGTACACACACACACACACCCACACACACACACACACCCACACACACACCCACACAC